AGTAGTAGTAGTAGTAGTAGTAGTAGTAGTAGTAGTAGTAGTAGTAGTAGTAGTAGTAGTAGTAATAGTAGTAGTAGTAGTGTAGTAATAGTAGTAGTAGTAGTAGTAGTAGTAGTAGTAGTAGTAGTAGTAGTAGTAGTAGTAGTAGTAGTAGTAGAAGTCGTAGTAGAAGTAGTAGTAATTAGTAGTAGTAGTAGTAGTAGTAGTAGTAGTAGTAGTAGTAGTCGTAGTAGTAGTAGTAGTAGTAGTAGTAGTAGTAGTAATAATAATAATAGTAGTCGTGGTAGCAGCAGCATTCGTAGCAGCAGCCTCAGGGTGCGCTCCAACAGGTGCGCCTCGCCGCTCGGGACTGCCAAAAGCGACTCGGGATCGGGTCGAGGTCTCCGAGGGCCGACGTCGTGAAAACATGTGACCTCGGGGACCTGGGGCTCCGTCGTCTTCGGCGTGTTGGCCTCCGACGCCGCGCGCATCGCTCGGCCCTGGGCGCTCGCAGCTCTCCGACAGCGCAGGCCGCTCGACATCGGCCGGTGCTGGGCCCCCGGGCGGCGTTCCGCCTCGAATGCCCGCCGCGCCGGGGAGCGCAGCCGCGCCGGCAAGACGCGAGCCCACCGCGCGGACGAGTGGAGCGGAAAGCCCCGAAGGGAATGCACGGCGCCAGAACGACAGAGCGGCAATACGCGTCGGTCGGAAGAAGTAGGTAAAAACACGAGGTAGGAAGGCGGGTTCGGGCCCTCCAAGGTGATAGCGAGACGCTGCAGCAGCGCATCGGTTCTTGAAGCAGGAGGGCGCTTGAGGTAGGTTGGGATCTGGGAATCCAGACATACCTACTTTCAACGACTGGCGTGTCCTGAGGCCCAGCGGAGCCAGCATTTGAAGCCTCCGAAGGGACCCGCCAGAGCGTGCGGCGCTGGTGCTCTACACGCATGTATGCTGCGGAGGAGGGGCGAGGAGAGGAGGGCGGAGGGACGGGAGAGCTGGGCAAGGAGGGAGAGAGATGGCGAGAGAGGGAAGGGGGAGGGCAGGGAGATAGAGAGAGGAGTGTCGCGCTCGCTCTCGGAGGCGGCGCGCCCCCTGCACCGAGGGCAGTGCGGGTGCTGGGCCATAGAATCGATGCGTATCCATCTCCGACCGCTCAGAATCTTCCATCGACGGCCAGACCACGATCGACATGAACAGACAGAATGGCCATCGAGCTTTCCTGGGCCCAAGGCGGTTCCGGCGTGCACCTGCCTGTGCCCCCCGCCCCCCCCCCCCCTTGGGGCCTCGAAGTCCCTCTTGTGCCGCTCCAGCATCTCTCTGCCCAGCTCCTCGCCACGAGTGAGCAACACGACCTCCGCAAGTGACCTGTGCTCCACCACCTGGGGTGCCCGCGCCCCGGTAGCAGCTGGGCAGCTGGGAGGAAGGATAGGATCAGGGGCATGAGCAACCCGCCTACTGGACAAGAGGCCCCTGGAGAGAACACCGAGCGGGTCTCCAGATCGACGAGAATGGCGGATAATGGACAACTCTTGGACCACCCCCGAACGGGCTCGGGGAGGAAGGGGTGCGGCGAGGGCAACCGTTGGCCCGCTTCGCCGCAGCGAAGGGAGGAAGCAAACCGCACGCCGCGGGGAGGAACCTCTGGCTCACGCTCGTTGTGTGCCAGCGGCTCCTTGCTCGCATCAGCGTGAGGTGGAAGTGGTGAGGGGGTGGGGGGGGCGCAGGCCCCCCCCACTGTGATCGGACCTCCGGCCTGCCCCATCCGGGGGCTACTGCGGTACCCAAGGCCTTTGGCAGAAAGGCAGGCGACGGCGCCTCCTCCTCCCCCCCGCGTCTGGCCTGCCCGTGCCGCACGTCACGCACCTGCGCGCTCCGCGTCGTGCGAGGCGCGTCGTCCATACTCGTTGTGCTGTTCTTGCCAAGAGTTCGCGCGCAAACCGAACAGGGCGAGGGGAAGCGAGCAACAGAGAAGTCATCATCACGGGTGAAGGGACTGCACCGGATGATGCAGTCGGCTCCACGCACAATACAACATGACCGTTCGCAATCATGCGGGAGCGCAAGCCCTACGCTGCTGGTGTGAAAACCATGTGATTCGAAACTGCACACGGAAGTACTTGTGCTCGGGAGGGGGTAGAGGAGGAGGAGGAGGAGGAGGAGGAGGAGGAGGAGGAGGAGGAGGAGAGGAGGAGGAGTCATACCCTACCGTCCGCCACGAGTCAGTCAGTCAGGAGGAGGAGGAGGCGGAGGAGGAGGA